ACCACACTTACCACGTTTACCACGTTTACCACATTTACCACGTTTACCACGTTTACGTTTACCACATTTACCAACGTTTACCACGTTTACCACACTTTCCACGTTTACCACATTTACGTTTACCACGTTTACCACGTTTACCACATTTACCACACTTACCACACTTACCACACTTACCACACTTACCACATTTACCACGTTTACGTTTACCACATTTACCACGTTTACCACATTTACCACACTTACCACGTTTACCACATTTACCACACTTACCACGTTTACCACACTTACCACGTTTACCACATTTACCACATTTACCACGTTTATGTTTACCACATTTACCACGTTTACCACATTTACGAACGTTTACCACGTTTACCACACTTACCACGTTTACCACATTTACGTTTACCACGTTTACCACGTTTACCACATTTACCACGTTTACCACACTTACCACACTTACCACATTTACCACATTTACCACGTTTACCACGTTTACCACACTTACCACGTTTACCACATTTACCACGTGTACCACATTTACCACGTTTACCACGTTTATCACGTTTACCACACTTACCACGTTTACCACATTTACGTTTACCACGTTTACCACACTTACCACGTTTACCACATTTACCACGTTTACCACATTTACCACGTGTACCACATTTACCACGTTTACCACGTTTATCACGTTTACCACACTTACCACGTTTACCACATTTACGTTTACCACGTTTACCACACTTACCACGTTTACCACATTTACGTTTACCACGTTTACTACACTTACCACACTTACCACACTTACCACGTTTACCACGTTTACCACAAGTCTGGAGTCGCCCGTCTGAACGGGACTCACAGTTCAAATCAGCACATTTAACTTCTAGTTACTAGGCAACCATACATCCCATTAATCTCCAAATTACATCAAATGCAATTAGCCACATACCCTTCATGCTTTTGGTGAGTGTTCACTAGGGCTGTTGGAACGAATTCCAAAATTCGAATATAATTCGAATATTAAAAAAATCAATACTATTCGAATGCTGAAGTTACTATTCGAATATTTTTATTTTTATTTTTTTTATATGCAATCTTGTCTTTCTCACCACCTTGGCTTACACGCATGTGAAAATGAAATGCTTTTGTTTCGTCTGATGAACAATAAAGTTTTTGAATCGTAACAATTGTGCACGTTATACACGCTGATCATCATAACAATACTGTCAAAAATGGTAAATGTTTAACGCCGTAAAAAAACACCCGTGAAGCGCAAATATCTTGGTGAAAACTCAACGGATTCGGTGAGCACCAAACTCGCTGGAACCGTCTAGTCGAACTGAAAAGAACAATATAAATTTCAGAATGTTTGGTGGTGTTTTCGCGGAGATATTAGCCGAAAACCATCGGTAGCGCTTCAACCATATTCAGCGTGAATAAAATGTTTATTGTAATGTTAGATGTCCCTCTAGTGGACAGAACGTGTAACAACAACCACATGCTATAGTGGCATTGGCGATCCATAAGCCTGAGTAATGTCGTAAATATTAATAATAGGGTGAATTTGAGCATTTAATATTCGAATATTATTCGAATATTAAAGGGTTAGTTCGCCCATTTAAGACATGAAGTTGTATGCAATCCTTACCAGCACTATAGTGCATACACACTGACCCACTCTGTTGTCACCTCCCTGGTCAGAGTTCTGTCCGCTGGAAGTTTTTCAATAAAGTACTCCCGGTTATTTTCCGGGGCCACAAAACTGTGCTTTTTACGTGAAAAAAATGATTTGCGTTTCAAAGCTTGATTAATTTACCACACAAAAAACACGCCGGTCAAAATTCATACTTCAGTTTTAATCGGCACTATTTTCGATCCATTTCTATCAATCCGCGCTGCTGTCAACGTCAACAGTGCACACGTTCCGATCGTGTGATTTTTTTTTCCCAAACCACTTCAGCGGAAATCCCGCCCTGCAGCTGATTCCAAAGTTGTCATTGGTCATGTCAATCACTGTACAGATTGCCTACACCAAACACTGATCCCTAAACCTACCCGTCACTGTAACCTAAACCAATGAAATCGGCTGCAGGGCGGGATTTCGTGGTTTGGGGAAAAAAAAATCACGCGTTCCGATCAGCTGTTCCATAGTGTTTACACAATCGATTGACAACGACGTAAAAAGTATTAAATTAACAATGGTGCGAACTTGTAAATTCCCAGGCTGTGACCACAATTGTGCCGGGATCAAAGTTCAGATTCCATCGTTTTCCTGTTTCGAATATAACTATGAGACAGCTTTGGCTGGTTGCCATCGGCTACTCTGCGGGAGCTAAAATATCCAGAATAAAGGATTTTCGTGTGTGTAGTGCTCACTTCAGCGAAGACGATCCCCAACCAAGGAGGAAAAGGAAAATTAAAGAGTTTTGCTGTACCAGTACCACGGGTAAGCTCTATTTACTAACTTTATGATTAAACTGATGTTTAGACTCCATTATAAAACACGTGAAAAGATGTCTAATATAAAAACAGCTATAGGGATATTGGTACAATTTGCTGAGAAAACTATTTGATTGAACACACACACAATTGAGGTTTTGTGTTGCAATCAATAACATTGTCGTTGTGCTAAAATTACTTTCATCATCTGATCCGTCTGGCATTGTGCTAAAATTGGTTTCATCATCAGAAGTTTCGTAGTCAGACATGTCGTCAGCGAGTCGGGCTATCAACAGCTGATCGGAACGTGCGCACTGTTGACGTTGACAGCAGCGCGGATTGATAGAAATGGATCGAAAATAGTGCCGATTAAAACTGAAGTATGAATTTTGACCGGCGTGTTTTTTGTGTGGTAAATTAATCAAGCTTTGAAACGCAAATAATTTTTTCACGTAAAAACGCACAGTTTTGTGGCCCCGGAAAATAACCGGGAGTACTTTATTGAAAAACTTCCAGCGGCCAGAACTCTGACCAGGGAGGCGACAACAGAGTGGGTCAGTGTGTATGCACTATAGTGCTGGTAAGGATTGCATACAACTTCATGTCTTAAATGGGCGAACTAACCCTTTAAATAAAACAAGGAATGGAATTCGAATAGTATTATAGAGGAAGATTGACAGCCCTAGTGTTCACCGTGGGAATATGAAGTTATGGCCGTTCCAACACGCATTAATAATGACAGAAGCAATGGGAAGTTAATCGGATAAAAACACTCTCCAATTAAACACACGACGTGTTCCTCGTCACATCCTCAAACACGCATAAATCATGTTATTCTCCTGTTATTAGTGTGTGTGTGATGAGACAATATCATATTCAGTCGCACACACACTGTACTGACAGCAAACCTGCATGTTAAAGCAGCGGCTCTTCCTCGCGAGAAGATGAAGATTCAGGAAACAGCGGATCAGTGTGTTATTCCGAGTAAAGCTGGAATTATGACCGTCTTCATCTAACATTTCATTTTAATTTCGAATATATCATAATTTAGACATTTGGTCAATTTCAACGATGTATAGGCTATATTATTAATTATATAATTTAGACATTTTTTGACAGTTGATAAGACTAAGTCCAAATTATGACACAATCTTTTTTTAACTATAACAAATTTGAAATTATGACAGTTGAATTTATGACATCATATTTTGAAATTATGACAAAAAAGTCAAAATTATAAAGTTGAAATTATGACAATATTACTGCAGACTGAATCTGATCTGATAGTCTAACCTCAGATGATGCTGAAAATTCAGCTTTGATCACAGCAATAAATTACACTTTACTGTATATCCACATAGAGAACAGATGATTTACACTGGAATGATATTTCACTGTTTTACTGTATTTTTATCAAATAAAAGCAGCTTTGGTGAGCAAAAGAGACTCTTTCAGAACATTAAAATAGTTAATTCAAAGTTTAATTTAATTCAAACTTTTGACCGAAGTTATTTATAACCAAACATTATTCAGACACCAGATATAATTTTTGATATGTTTCACCAGTGTGATCAGGACACTATAGTGTATTTCTGTAAGTGAGGAGAGCAGAATAAAGTAAACTGAGACATATTATACCCACATATTCTTCATACCAGTGACATTAATAAAGATGTGGGAGCAGAAATGATTCCTCCACTTTGAGCTGATGATGTTCTGCTGAAGTGTGTTTTCTGTAATTGCTAATGCTCTTTTTACACACACACTGAACAACATGAAGCATTGCTTGGTCACTGGTTGAGCTAAACTGGTATTATCTAATTGTGTAGTTAAATTTAACAGCTGACAGATATTCAACATAATTCATGTGTGAGAGTCTAACAGAAGGATGGACAAAACCAGTCAAATATCCACTGATCTGAGAACTGAGAACTGCTCATATTTATCTCCATTTTCTAAACTAGTGAATAAACTGATAATGTGAGAAATGTTGAAGATGTCAGAATAATGTTGGTTTGACTGTATATTCCTTTTACCATGAAAGTTATTGCTCAGAAATTGCTAATGAGACTTAATGGAGATCTCAGTGCAAACTTTGGTATCATGAGACAAAACAGTGTGACTTTAAAACATTAAAAACCCCAAAACTCTGGAGGAAACGTGAGATTACTGGTCCTTTCTCTTCACTTGCTCTTCTCTTCAGATCTGGAGTGTGATTCTGACAGATCGTGTCTTTCTCGGGTCGTTCAGAGGATACATCTCACACGACACACGCGCCGCAAATTAATTAACCGCTACGGTCCAGATTAATGGAAAAATTAATTTATAATTACTTAAGGCCTTCTTAAGCGGTAAATCTCGGCGCGGCCCGGTTTCAGATAAGAAGAGCACAGGGTAATTAGAGAAGCAGAATTACCCAGGGTGCCGAGCGACTGTGGCGTTCTTACTGTACTTACTGTAGGTCATGTGACGCGCATCAGCTGGTTTCATCATCTGTTCATTAGTTCACTGGGACGAGCTGTGGATAATGAGTGTGAACGTCCTCTTACCTTCCCGAAGCTGCCTTTCCCGATGGCTCGCAGGATCTGGAAGTGATCGAAAGTCACTGCAAAGGAGAGCAGAACCAAGATTAATGAAGGAGATGCAACTATTAAAGGCTACAAAGTCAACTCTGTTATCATTTATCCACCGTCATGCTGATAACGTCTCAATTAAAACAGTCCAAATTACTGTATGACAGAAAATATCAAAATTATGATAAAGTTGAAATTTGTCAAAATGATTTGATTGTCATAATTTCAACATTTTATGTCATTATTCTGACTGCCAATTTCAACTTATTTCGACTGTCATAAAATATTTAAATTTTATATACAATGAGTCTAAATTATGACATCAAATGTTGAAATTATGACAAAGTTGAAATTATGACAATTTTGACTAATATCGACTGTCATCTTTTCAACATTTTATGTTAATTTTGACTTATAATAATTTAGACATTTGGTCAATTTCAACAATGTATATATAATTCAGACATTTTATGACAGTTGAAATTATGACAGTCAAAATTATAAAAAAAAAATTTAAATTATAAAATTTAAATTGTGACAGTCAAAATAGGCAAAATGTCAAAATTACAACAAAGTTGAAATCATGACAGTCAAAATTAAGACAAAATGTTGAAATTATGATAGTTCAAATTAACTAAGTCGAAATTATGACACAAAATGTACAAAATTATGACCATTTTCACTCATTTTGATGGTCATCATTTTAACATTTTATGTTAATTTTGACTTATCATAATTTAGACATTTGGTCAATTTAAAAAATGTATATATAATTTAGACATTTTATGACAAGTGAAAATATGACAGCCAAAATGATGATATAAAATGTTGAAATTATGGCAACTGAAATTATGATATAATGTAGAAATTATGGTAGTTGAAATTATGACAAAATGTCAAAATTATGACATACCAAGTTGAAATGTTGAGAATAAAAAGTCAAAATTATGACATACTACATTGAAATTATTATGAATAGTATGAAGTATGAGTATACATATGAAAAGTTTAAATCGACGTCAAAATTATGACAAAATAATTGTACACAATTTTGACTTTAAAAAGTCAACATTATGACATACTAAGGCAAAATTGACTTAAGTCAAAATTATGTACAACTATATTACCTCATAATTTTATGTGATATTTATGATTTACCAAAGCATGATTATTTCTTGTGAGGTGTAAATGGGCTTCCATAAATTTGAAGCGTTGAGAGGTGAATACGTTAGAAAGTGAAGAGAGAGAGAGCAGCCAAACGTCAGATTAATGCAAAATTCTGTCAATCAATACTTCAGGTCATAAAAAACTCCTGTGTGTGTGTGTGTGTGTGTGTGTGTGTGTGTGTGTGTGTGTGTGTGTGTGTGTGTGTGTAGTCATGAGAAAACCAGCTCATCGATTTAACCTTTCTCCAGTCAGCAGAAACAAACCTCAACACAACAATCACATTATTATGATTCTGTCTTCATATCTTACGCATTAACTAATGCTGTAAATGACTAGTTTTAACTGTAATTACGTGAAGCTAAATTAAGCCACTCTGAGATGCATTAAGAGATTTATATTCAGATAAATCAGAGCTTATGCGTTTTGATTTCATTAGATATGTATTTAACGATAACACTGTTTTGATTGTTGTGCTCGAAAAACATGTTTTCCGTCTCAAATGTCCGTTCATGAAAACGGTTTCCGAGCAGAGATGCTCTATAGAGTCTAGAAGCAGCTTCCTTCCACTAATGGCTTCTTTTTCTAACAGCATTCTCTCACACACACACACACACACTTGAGAGGACGCCCCGGGTCACTTCTGAAGAGGAGATGTGAGTGTGTGTGTCGAGTCGGTCTAAAGACTCCCAGCATCTCATTCTTCAACGGGTTTATCAGTTATGTATAAAGCGTATGGAGGTAATATGATGCCATAAAGAATCGCATGCCCAAGGTAAGATTGTAAAGGTGTAAATCACACAACAATCAGACGCCGCGCACAACAATCAGACGCCGAGCACAACAATCAGACGCCGTGCACAACAATCAGACGCCGTGCACAACAATCAGACGCCACACACAACAATCAGACGCCGCGCACAACAATAAGACGCCGCACACAACAATCAGACGCCGCGCACAACAATAAGACGCCGCGCACAACAATAAGACGCCGCACACAACAATCAGACGCCGCGCACAACAATAAGACGCCGCGCACAACAATCAGACGCCACACACAACAATCAGACGCCGCGCACAACAATAAGACGCCGCACACAACAATCAGACGCCGCACACAACAATCAGACGCCGCACACAACAATCAGACGCCGTGCACAACAATCAGACGCCACACACAACAATCAGACGCCGCGCACAACAATAAGACGCCGCACACAACAATCAGACGCCGCGCACAACAATAAGACGCCGCGCACAACAATAAGACGCCGCACACAACAATCAGACGCCGCGCACAACAATAAGACGCCGCGCACAACAATCAGACGCCACACACAACAATCAGACGCCGCGCACAACAATAAGACGCCGCACACAACAATCAGACGCCGTGCACAACAATCAGACGCCACGCACAACAATCAGACGCCGCGCACAACAATAAGACGCCGCGCACAACAATCAGACGCCGTGCACAACAATCAAACGCCACACACAACAATCAGACGCCACACACAACAATCAGACGCCGTGCACAACAATCAGACGCCACACACAACAATCAGACGCCGCGCACAACAATAAGACGCCGCACACAACAATCAGACGCCACACACAACAATCAGACGCCGCGCTCAACAATCAGACGCCGTGCACAACAATCAGACGCCGTGCACAACAATCAGACGCCGTGCACAACAATCAGACGCCACACACAACAATCAGACGCCGGGCACAACAATCAGACGCCGTGCACAACAATCAGACGCCACACACAACAATCAGACGCCGCACACAACAATCAGACGCCGTGCACAACAATCAGACGCCGTGCACAACAATCAGACGCCACACACAACAATCAGACGCCTGTGCACAACAATCAGACGCCGTGCACAACAATCAGACGCCACACACAACAATCAGACGCCGCACACAACAATCAGACGCCACACACAACAATCAGACGCCGCGCACAACAATCAGACGCCGCGCACAACAATCAGACGCCGGGCACAACAATCAGACGCCACACACAACAATCAGACGCCGCGCTAGGCTTGGGCAGTAATACGGTAATATCGTATACCGCGGGATCTAAAAATGGCAACGGTATCAGTTTCAATATCGTCATACCGTCATAAAAAAAAATCCAATGCACTTATATAGGAGAAAAGGATTAAATATTAAATATAATTTATTTAATGGCTAAAAATGCTTATGTGTGGTTGTCATCACGTGACAGTGTGGAGGAGAAAGAGTGGGGGAGAGAGGGGGAAAGATGGCAGGTTGCGCACCGAGTGACCTGGTCTCGAAGAAGAACACGACTTCTGCAGTTTGGCAGGGATGGGCATTTCAAGCAAAAATAATATTTGAAGATCGCCTGGTATTTGATTATTATTCGAAAATCGCACCCCTCCACCATATGCACGCACACATGCATGTAGGCTACACAGCTATACAGCGGAGCGGTGTGACACTTATTAAATAGGTTATAAGTAAAAAAAATAAAAAAAAACTCATTTCTTTTCATATTTATGTTTAATAATATAATGTTGTTATTTTTTTTTTATTTCATCTATGTTGATTATATGAAAAGGAAACTGCATGAGATGAATAAGATAGGATCATAAGATGCCCAATATCGGAAAACATTTGGAATGGGTCAGACATGATTTTTGACCACTTATTACGTTTTGTTTTGTAGAAAGCCTTTCTTTAAAGTGAATTTCGTTTCGCATAAATTGTATCTTCATTTTAATCAATGTTTCATCAACGAATTGCCTGGATTAATAAATAAGAAGGATATATATTAGACAATATAAGCCGGCGCGTGAACTGGAGCGCGTCTCCTAAAAAGAACGAAACTCAGCGTATAAGATAGATGCCTTAAATATCTGAGAAGTGTATATATATAATAAGCTTGAAATGTCTACTTTTAAACAAAACAATTAAAAACTAAAAGAAATGGCCTGCTCTCTGTAGGCTAATTCATATGAAGTGTGCATTTCTATCTATGCGCGTTCACTACTGCGAAGATGCGAGTCTGCATCGTAAACTTTATCTGTGCAGCCACTGACATAGAACGTTTTTTATTAATAAACAATTCAAATGTTTCATGCATAATTACTTTTGCCGGTTCTTTGTGCCAAGCTTTATGCGTGCTTTGAGATGCAGAATAGGCAATATATTACGAAAACGCTCATTATGGTTTAGCATTCTCTCCTATATATATTTAAGTAATTTAATCAATATAAATATGTGATTAGACTAATGGCTTAAATCAACTACTACTAGTCAACTAGAAAAAAAAAACTTTAGTCGTGCACGGGCAGCCCTACTTCACATGTTTTCTAACCAGCATGTCACTGCGGGCGTTCTGAGCGCGCGACGCTGAGTGGACTGAGCACGCGGCGCGGGATCTTCAGAAATGCGCTCTCTGCTCTGGAGGAAATATTACCACTCCGCTCACATGCTCTGGTGTGAGACAATGTGCATCTTCTCCTGTTGTCTGAGAGTTGATTGACAGCTTTTAGATGCATTATTGGCATCGCCACCCTCTGGTTGAACGTGTCACCACCGCATCAGAACGGAAAACATGGGGATTTTTTATAGACAATAATCCCACAACCTATTCCATATTCTATAATAAAATCAAATAATTGAATATTTGAAAATTGTGACTCATCCCTGCACAAACCAACAGTTTGGTGATGCCGTCTGAGCCTTATGTCATAATTTTTAATTAGTCACGCGGTAATACCGTATACCGCGGTAAAATAGGGAGGAGGTTTGACGGTATCAAAATTTGGATACCGCCCAAGCCTACGCCGCGCACAACAATAAGACGCCGCACACAACA